TTATATTTTGTCAACATTTTTAACTCGATAGTACCGACAAAATACAACTTAATAACAAAAAAGATTATTATAATCAGGTTGAAACAAGCCACAATCAGGTTAAAAAAAGCCACAATCAGGTTGAAACAAGTCACAATCTTTAAAGCGTTTAAAAGTGTTGACTAAATTCTTTTTTTTTTTTGAGAATAAATTGTTGATGTACTGTAAATATTTTGATATACTTTTTACAAACAGTGTCATATTCACAACTACATACAACTACAAAGATTATATATATTTTTAAAAGTAACTACTCTTCTGACAACTTGTGTGCCAAAGTTATAGTTTTGTGTAGAGTAAGGTGCTAAATGGACCAGTTCTATAAACTTTATTTGAAACGGCTTTTAAAATAACACTCTTTTACTTCTGATGAAAGTCTAAGCTGTTCGGTTTGAAATATAAAGCATAAATTTATACTCTCACCTGTTTATTGAGATTCTTCCGTTGATTTGAAACGGAAGAATCTCAATAAACAGGAGGGTCAGAAATATAACTATAAAATTTAATAAACAGGAGAATCGGAACACTTTTTTAAAACAAAACAGTCGACAGTATTTTTAAACAGGGAAAACAGTGTAAGTTATGGGGCCAATTTTGTGAAATTTTAAAAATAACAGAATTATTTCTAGTGACGTCATCTTTGGACTACTTTTTAAGCGGTTTTTAATACGGTTTATGTTAAAACGGCTTTTATATTAGCATTATTTTAGGACTGATGACGGTCTAAGCTGTTTAGTTCAAAATATAACGAACAGATTATTATTCTCAGCTACCAAGTAAATTGGGAATTAATAAATGGAAGGGTCAGAATTTTAAAAAAAGTGAACAATAAAAACAACAAACTTTAGACGATAAAATTTTTTCAACATTTTGAATGACTGTATCAAATAAAAATAACATTAAATAAAATTAGTCAGAAGCGATTCTAATATAAAAATGGTGTAGCTCTTTGTATGTCGCATAGTGTATTTTTTGAGGTAGCATTACCATTTTTCCTATAATTGTTGTTTATTAATAATAATATTGGTTTACTGTAACAACAATATATACATTGTTGCAGAGCAAACTGTGATGCTATAACAGCTGTTAATGTTATAAATTGTCAAAATTAGTTTTAAAACAATCTAAGGACCTTGAATAAACAAAATAGTTTGACAAAGAACTTCAGTTTTTATTTATCCTATTGTTGAAAACGTTATTTCTTGAGGAACACTTAAGTTTTTCACGTTTAATTCTTTTACTGTGTCCACCTATTTTTGATAAAGAACCATCGCTTGTTAGTGAAGAAACCAGTTTGAAGTGTTTGAACCAATTCACAATTTGTGAGCCATTTAATATTTTATATTGGTATATCAAATCCTCTCTAGTTCTGCGATTTTCTAAAGTTGTTAAACTTAGTTTCCGTAGTCTATCTTCATATGGAAGGTTTTTGAGATCTATAATGAGTTTTGTGGCTCTTCTTTGAATCTCTTCAAGTTCTACTTTATCATTAATTAGATTTCGGTTCCGAAATCTAATTCTAAAATAAAATCCTGGTACTGAATATTCAAGATGAGGTCTCACTCACTAGTGTAAAATATAATGACTTAACTATGTCTTATTTTAAATAAATAAAATTTCTTTTTATTAAACCCAGTGATCTTTACGCATTAGCGACTGCTGATTTTACTTGCTCATGCCATTTTAGATCAGCTGATATTAACATACGTAAGTTTCTTTTTAATTTTGTTTCTTTAACTTTGTAATTTTTATCTGTATTGTTAATAGTATACTTGTATGGTATATTTTTAGTACCAATGGACATGATTTTACATTTTTCTTTATTTTCATTTCCCAGATGTTTCACCGGTTTATTACTTTATTAATGTCAATTTGAAGTTGGTTTGTTGTTTTTAAAACGATTTCATCATTATCAATAGTTGATATTAATTTGCTATCATCAGCAAATAATTTGCATTCAGAAGTGACCAGGTTAGGTAAATTGTTTATGAATTCATAAACGATTTACCTAACCTCTTTTTGTTATATTAATATAACAAAAAGAAGTGGACCCAGTACAGAGCCTTGTGACACTCCACTAAATACTTCACACCAATTAGATATATTTTCACCCATAATTACCATTTGTTTTCTACCGATTAAAAAGTGGGTTGATGCAAACTAGCAACTTCCATTTAATGCCATAGGCTGCTAAATTTTTAACCAATTGTTTATGCGTTATTTCGAAAACTTTTTCAAAATCCATGTATAATACGTCTAACTCTTTACCATCATAAGCAGCACTTGTAATGATGTCCAATGATTCTATTAAGTTTGTGGTACATGATTTTTGTTTCACAAATTCATACTGTTGTTGAGAAATTAAATTATATTTGTTTAGATGATTCAATATAATCTTGTTAATTAATCTTTCTGAAAGTTTACTTTTCTAAATGATAAAAAATACGTTGTTATCTAAGACATACAACACGTAGCCGTAGTCGCTGTGTATTTACTGCAATCTCTCGTTGAATTTTCAGGTTGATGAGCTACGCAAGAAACTTACTCGAACTAACGACGCACTTTCAATAATTCGTCATTATGTCAATAAATTCACACTAAACATTATTTATTGTGCATTGTTTATATTGCATCTTAGTTGCTGTTGTCAAAATGACAACTATCACATCAAAAATCTGATGTGCTTTCAACATCAATTCATAAGAATTATAAACTTCCAACCTTTTAAGTCAGAAACATCAGACTCTTTCAAAATACTAAAAATTCCAACTTTTCCAGCGCTTGTAAAATTTGCTAATCTTCTTTTTGTTTTTGAGTTTCTTAATAAAAATTTACCTTCTTCTATAATAGAATTTTTTACAGAAAGTAGAATAATACATACATACTCTACTAGAAACATATATAATGGAAAACTTGGTGTACCATTATTTAAAACTCAGAAGTATGGTATATTGTTGTCTATCGGTGTATTTGTTAATGGAACAAGAGTCTTGCATGCATAGTGAATGAATTCAAAAAACTACAACTTCAAACACCTTTATCGTCTTTCTTTAATCTTAAGCAAAATCAATTTAAAAAAATTCTGAGAACAATTTTATTCAAACTTATTGACATGATTTTCACTTTATATTTAAAATATACTCTTATTTTTTTAATTACGATTACTACAGCTATTATCATTAACTTCTTGTTTATTTATTTATTATTATTATCATCAAAGTATGATTTTTAAATGTTAACTTAGTTTATGTAAGTTCTATGTGTGCATGCTTATTATTAATCATATTATATTTAAAAACTGGTGTCATTTCTTTGATCAGAATTCTGTTTGAGTAACACCACCCTTATCAATCATTTAGTTATTATAATTAAATACTTATAATTAATTTACTCATTATTATATTAATTTATATTATTGCTATTATTATTATTATTATTATTATTATTATTGCTATTATTATTATTATTATTATTATTATTAGTAGTAGTAGTAGTAGTAGTAGTAGTAGTAGTAGTAGTAGTAGTAGTAGTAGTAGTAGTAGTAGTAGTAGTAGTAGTAGTAGTAGTAGTAGTAGTAGTAGTAGTAGTAATGCTCATTTGTGCGTGTTTGACACGATACTCTTGGCAGCCATTGCAACCGAGGTAATAGCAAAAAAGATCAGCTGTACTTTTTCTTATAAGAAAAGTCAACGAAAGTGTATAAATATCTATCTTACGCAATCTTTAAACTATGTAATGTTAAAAACATACTAAAACATATATTAAGTTTTACAGTTTTACTTTCACTTGAAAATTGCATTGCGACAACATCTTCTTAAGATATGATCTGTATGCACTAAAGTCCAGGTTCGATTCCTACCAACGGCCTTTTTTTTGCTGCGATTCTCTTTTCGTCAAACTTCATATATATCTATATAAACATAGTAAAAGGTTCTATTTTTTATTTGATTTGAAACCTGTTACTTTTTTTCATTATTTGACAAAAAGTTTGTTATAATGAAGTTTGTTATTAAAAATATAAAAATATTTATAAATTGTTTTTATAAATTTATATAAATCGTTACAGATATTTTATAAATGAAGCCATTAAATAAAGCTAAACGTGTTTTAAAACAAATTTAAGTTAAATTAAAAATTGAAATTTAAATAAATTTAGATTAAATTTGTCGTTTTCATTTTTAAATATCAATCCCTAATTTTTTTTGCAGACCAAGTCATATTTTAACCACCACAAATATTTTGTTGATTTAAATATATATAGATATATTTATATGATAATTTTTCATGTATTTTTTGGCATAAATACATTGACGGCAATAGGAATATTTGAAATTAAATTTAAATACATTGATTGAGTAGTTTTAATGGCGCGTAAATGAAGTAATGTTCTTCCGCTCTAAACCGACAGTGAAGAGAACAGTGCAAGGTGACCTCATATATCACTATAAACCACTGTACATCCAAGTAGCTTATAGTGATATATCACTATAAGTCACTGTACATCTAAGGCGCAAATGGTGTGTGATTTACCCCACCTCTCTCTATCAATGAACTTTAGTTTGTTAATTCGGCAAATTTAGAAGTGAGTCGGCATCTGTAGACCAGATAGTACAGTCAGCAAACTTCGACTTTTAGTACTATCGGAAAATATAAAAAGCAACGAACTTTTTTTTTTTAAAACATAAAAAAACATTTGTAGAGTTTTTGCTACAGTAAATAAAAATGCTAAACTTCTGAATTATACAATGAAAAAATTTATACAAAAAAATGTTTAATTTATAAAATAAAAATTATACAAACTAATTTGCGGATTTAGTAAATAAAGCGTGTTCGCGTGTTCGCTGTTCATCAGCACTACCTTGATGTTTATTTTATTAAATCGAGAACCATAAACGTCTATTTTTGTAATTAAATTAAAAGAGAACCCATTCTTTTTAAATGGGAATAGAAAATTAAAAGTCTTTAAGAATATTCTATACTATTGCAATAAAGCAACAAACAATAATGTTATACATTCAAAAAATATTTTCAAATCAAAGATCGTTTAGTTTTCAATCACCTTATCCAGAAAAAATTACTTTGAACTCAGCATGACTTTTATCAGTTAAGAAAAACTTTGCTCCATCAACTTCACCCCAATTTCCGCCTTTAGTAGGGCTTTTAGCGCCATTTTTTCCATTATACAAATCATAAAAACTCTCTTTTTTATTCGATAGGCGTGCATTAGCCCAAGAACTATATAAGTTCCAGTCGTAAGGAATAGATGCCATTAAATTAAGAATTTTGTTGCCATATTTGTAATGAACAACGCCTGCTGCCCCTGTTGCAGCTCCTCTAGATTTTTCCCATACAAACACACCCGTATTTTCTGGAGGAATATCAGCAAAAGTTGTTGACATACTTCCTGATTCTTGTGTTGTTCCTAAAGCAATAAGAGTTTTATTAGATCTGTTTTCTACGGCACATTTCCAATCTCTCACAGCATCTCCTTTCCAAACTTCATCAATTTGTTGTAAAGCAACATCCACACCAACCTTTACTAAAACTCCTATAAGTACTGGATTTACAGCTCCAACAGACAATGGTAGAAGTAAGTTCACTAAACTTACATACAGGAGCATAATTAAATTTCTAATATTTCTAAAATATAAATAAGTAAAATACGTATGTAAAATATTTAAAACATGTATTACCTTATTGAAAAAGTTTGTTGCATATTTATGTAATATTTTATACATTTCGTTTATGAATATATATGTATATATATAAAACAATTCGTAGAAGTTGAGGTTTAACAAAATGTTAGAAAAAAGTAAGTGGAACAAAGAGTAAGAATATTAGTAGCTAACCAAGAATTGAAGAGAAGCTGGAAGAGTTATGTTTTGTTTTTTAACACTGTTTTTAATCATTTAAAATACCTTTGTTAGTTACGCAACCCAGTTTTTATTTTTGCCTAAAATAAAGTTTTGGATTCATAAAGTACAGAAAAAAACCTAGAGGGGGTGGTGTGGGAGGAGGAAGAATAGCCCCGTAAGTCTCTACTACGTGTTAACAAATTGCAAAAATAGTCTTCCGGCTTCTTCTATGTTATTGATCAACTATTAGTTTTCCAACTCCACGTTTCACCTTCTTTTTATTCCCAAGTTGACCACTTGGTGAACCTCGATTTGTTATGACATTTTGTTCTTAGTATGTTAATAGTTTTTATAGCCTTTTTTATATTTGAATATTGTTCGCTTGAGCTACTATTTATAGTTTATTATGATAACGACTCGCTTTACGCTTAAAATTAAAAAATAAATTTGTTTTATAACCCAACGCATTACGCTTGGGTAAACACATTTTAAAACAATTTCATAAGATATAAAGTAACACCATCCGGCACTGTCGGAATTCAGACGTTAAAAAAACGTCTTATTCCTGACATTTTTAGCCCCGGAAATTCGTTCAAAGTACGTCTTATTAGCGTTTTATTTAAACTTTTATTTAAATGCAACGATAACTAAACAATAACTAAAATGCAATGTCGGCCCAACTTTGAATTTTAAGTGAGCATTGCGTTATATTTTATATAAATACAACATAAATACGATGAATTTTACGTTGGCGAAACGTTGTATTTTAAGTTGATTCAACATTATATTTTACGTTTGCACAACGTTATATTTAACTTTGGAAATAAATTTTTTATATAATAATATATAATGTATTTATACACATATTAGATATTATATATATGCTATACTTATATATATATATACTTATATATATATATATATATATATATATATATATATATATATATATATATATATATATATATATATATATATATACTCTCACATTAAATAATATACATATATATATATATATATATATATATATATATATATATATATATATATATATATATATATATATATATATATATATATATATATATATATATATATATTCTCACATTAAATAATATATATATATATATATATATATATATATATATATATATATATATATATATATATATATATATATATATATATATATATATATATATATATATATATATATATATGTATATACATATATTCGTATATATAGACACATTAAATAATTTATATTTAAACATTAAATATATACGGTCTCTCTTTATGTAAATAAGCCTTTGTTAATTTATATAAAGAGAGACCGCTAGCCCCCTGCAAACGAGGCAAACTCCCTGTCTAATCAAGGATCAGCAGTGCACACCGCACCGGAGCGACCAAATCCGGCAACTATGCATCCACTAGCCCTTCCCCCCCAAATAAAAAAAAAACAAACTGAGCCGTAGCGATTCCGACACCAGAAGAAACAGACAGGTTTGTTGCCATGCCAGCAAAAGGCGTAACGGAATCCCACAACCGCACCTAAAGGCGCTAAGCCCCGTCCAGATTCTCTACTTAATCATAGCATGCACAATTGTTATGGAAGAACTAGCTAAAACCAGCCATTCTAAAATATGTCAGCAGTGCTTACATCCCTAGTCAACGTGGCATGGGACATTACCGCATTGACTAGGAGTTACATGATTGAGAGCATATTATAAAAGGAGATCTCAGGAATTACTTCCTCCACATAATCATAGCTATTAGATTAAGAAGTGATACCGGATAAAATAAAGGGACTAATAATAATAATAACATATACACACAAATTTTTTTAAATGGACATTAACTCAATATAATATTAAGTTTACAATTTTTTTGGCTTTTTTAAATGTTTACATATATATATATATATATATATATATATATATATATATATATATATATATATATATATATATATATATATATATATATATATATATTTTCTTTTTTTTTTTTAATAAAAAATTATAAGTGATAAAATAAAGGCTGGCAGTGATTATTTAATCATAATTAATAACATATAGCTCATATATTTAGTTTCAGATTCCCGTTCTCTACTTGACAAAATACATTTTTAATACAGAAAAGTTGACAAAAAATGTCTGTAGTGTTTCTACGGACATGGTAATTATATTTTAAGGTAATAATATTCCTGATGTTCCTGATTATTACCCTGATCATTTCCATAGGGATGATTTTGGAATTATTGAACATGTGGTGGCATCTGCTGTTCCATATCTCACTCATGATGGTTTGAGTGAGTGTCAGCAGCAGCTGCGAGGTAGGGTTTTTTCCCGATAAATTTGCGGTTTCAATAGAGAAAATCAAGTTTATCGGAAAAAAGTTGTTTTTGGATGTCAAGGAGCTATATATATGTTTAAAATACTCCCATATTTCAATAGAGGGAGGACAGTAGACAAAAATGTGAAGATTGTCCTCGACTTCACCACAATTTTGCATTTGTTGTTTTTAACGATCTGTTGCCTTGTGCTTTTGGCTAGCAAGGCCGCAGAAGGTAGACTGTTGTGTAAAAATTGAAAGAGGATGTTTTGTGTCGGTCCGCATGCGTAGGAGGTAAAGTTCTTTTTTCAAATTTGGGTCCACGGCATTGTTGTTTTTGTTGAACCGTTCCAGAAAAACCGTTCCACTTTTAAATAAAAAATTTTTGTTGATTTTAGGGGGATGTTAAAAATAGACCCGTTTTTGCCTAACATTTCAATTGTTGTTTTGTAGTACTGAGACATTTTGTTGTCCCAGTGTTTTGGAAAATTGTTCTGTTTCAAAAAATTCCAGCTTTGGTTTTGGTTAGTAAACTTTATAAGTGAACTTGCTAACCAGTACTTTGAAAAGTAGTAGTAATCGTGAGTGTTATCCTCTCCACATTCTTTCAGTTGAAACAGTGTTTTGAGGCAAAGTGCAAGGATTTGCTCCTTCGGTGATAAAATTCCGAGACCCCCGCTTTTGACGGTTAAAAAACAGCGTCTCTCTTTTTACCGGATTGAAATTGGTCTTTTGCCAATATGGCACTGTGTAAACGTTCTATGACCCATTCGGGAACGGACAGCACGTTTGCCAGAAACCACACTTTTGAAATTGCTAACGTATTTATTAACATAGTCTTTCCCCTAAGTGACAAAGTACGAAGTCCCAAAAAACTTGAGTTTTTTCTCTATTTTGTTTAGAGTTTCTAGCCAGTTGAAATTATTAGTATTACTCAGTCTGGTGTAAAAAGTAACACCCAAAATTTTTAAACCGGTGTTATTGGTCCACTCTATGTTGTCCAATTCTAGGTACATTTTAGGATCAAACACTCCCAGAGCAAGACCCTTGGTTTTTGAGGCATTGATCACTGAACCACTTGCTTTTTCAAATAGTTTTACTGTTTCGAAAAAAAAGCGGACTGATTTTACGTCCCGCGCAAAAAAGTTTGAATCGTCTGCGTACTGCTGTAATTTAAGGCGTTTTGGTGTTCCTGGTAGTGGGAATCCCTCGATTCTGCTGTCTGTTCTGATCACCAAAGCGAGAGCCTCAACGACAAAAACATACAACAAAAGAGAGAGAGAGGGTCGTCTTGTCTAACTCCCCTTTCGGTAAGGAAAGAGGCTGACAGGAAACCGCAGTTTAGAACGGATGCCGAAACTTTTATATATAGAGTGATAACAAAAGATATAAAATTTTCTCCGAGACTAAATTTTTGGAGAATCTGCAGCAGAAACGCACGATCAACTTTGTCAAACGCCTTTTCTTGATCTATTGACAAAATGAAACTAGGAAGATTTTTAAATTCCTCATAATCTATTAGATCACGCACTAAATGTAAATTTGAGAAAATTGTTCCGCAAGTTTGATTTGGTTCTATAATTTTCAATTGTTCTATAATTGAAAGTCTTAGGGCCAGCGCTTTTGTTATTATTTTGTAATCAGCACCGATTAAGGATATGGGCCTCCAATTTTTACATTCGGTAAGATCTCCTTGTTTGTGAATCAGTAAAATTATTGATTTTTTCATAGAGTGGCTAGTATTTTTTTCTACTAAAAGTATTTCGTAAGCAAGTTCTTCAAAATCTTTTTCTAAAATGTGCCAAAAAGTTTTGTAAAATAAGCTGGGAGTCCATCATAGCCCGGAAATTTTCCGTTTTTAAATTTAAAAAGGCCATCTTTTAGCTCCACGCCGGGTGTTTAGGCGGGTGTTTAAAATTTGGTTTTTATCATCACTTAAATGTTTAGTGATGTTTGACAAGACATAGTTTTGGCTGTCTTTGCATAAATTTGTTTTGGTGTAAATATTTTTATAATATGAAACGAGGGAGTTAAGTATTTCACCAGGTTTACTCGTCAATGTGCCGTCATTCTTGCGAATTTCGGTGATTGATTTGTTCCCCTGTTGAACTTTTTCCAAATTATACAAAAATTTTGAAGGTTTTTCTCCTTCTTTGATTAGTTTTTGCTTCGTGCAAATAAACGCTCCTGAAAACTGGAGCAAGAAAAGAGCATCGCGTTTTTCTTTGATGCTATCTAAATTCGGGTTAGCGTTTTGTCGCTCCCGTTGGATCTCGTTTTCAATCGTTTTGATTCGTTTTTTGTTTTTTGCACTTTCCTGTATCGATATATGTTGTAATTCAACTCTAACAAAAAGTTTGCAGTTGTCCCACTATTTTAAAATTGAGTTGTAAGACCGTTATTTTGCTTGCCAATCTTTAATTAAAACTTCAATTTTTTGCCTATGCACCTCTATTT